GCTAGACAAAAGGGTATTACTATTAGAGCCCTTGTTGTCATTAATCCAGGAAACCCAACTGGCCAGGTAAATCTATATTAGTTTTTAAACACTAATAAATGTGTTTTCTCTATGTCATGATAATTAAATTCCAGAATTTTATTGGCATTTTAGTAAAAGTGTGATTAAGTAGGGTGACATTCATCATTCATGTACATTATGCAATTTTATCAGGAAAACATTTATGTCCCTGAAAAGCACTTTCACTCTTTTAAGAAAGTTACTCGTTCAATGGGATATGGTGACAAGGATATTCCCTTGATTTCTTTTCAGTCACTGTCCACAAGGTGGCATCAGTGAATCTTTGTTCGAACATTTATGTTCAAATTCTTGCAAGCCTTGTTATGAGTCCTCCAAAGGTTGGAGATGAATCATATGATTCTTATTTTTGCTGAAAGAGATGATCTGCAAGGCGAGCAAAGGTCAGTTAGTTAATTCAATTGTTAATTTGTTTGCAACTCTTAATTTCTTGATAATTCTTAATTTCCTTTTCCTTGACATATTGAAACTACAGACATTGGAAGATGCACTGAACAACTTAGAGGGTGTTACCTGCAACAAAGTAGAAGGTGCAATGTATCTTTTCCAACAAGTTAAGTTGCCAAATAAGACCATAAGAGAGGCAGAGAAAGCTAAAAAAGCTCCGGATGCATATTATGCAATTCGCCTTAAGGGTTTTGTAATTGGCATCAGGGTATCAAGGGATTGTGCTACACTATTGCTGTTGTTTTGTGTTGTTTTGCTGTTTTGAGACTATTTATGTTTTGTTGTTTTGTAGTTTGTTGCTGACTTGTTAAATTCCACTTGTTGCCGTTTTAAGATCATTTTTCTCGGTATGATCTGCTGGTAAAACAGAAAAGGAAAACAGTCTTTTGCTCATTTGCAACTTTGTATTTCAAGTTTTTTCTCATTTAACATATTTTGTATTAAATTACTGATTTGCCCTTGTGCCTATGCAGGTCTTCACAGCCCTAGTAACCTCCTTCCATAGCCTTCAATCTCTCAAAGTTCAACATCATTTTTATATAGAAGGGTAAAATGATCATTTACTTTTATTCATAAAGTTTATTTGGTCAAATAAAGAAAGAGTCTCTAGTCTTTGTTCATTTAACAACTAATTAATGGAGAAAACATCATTTCACTGACTTTCTCTATTATGTTGTTATTTCAGAATGTTAGTAAATGACCATTTTACCCTTGAGTGTTTTGAGAATTTGTAGTTGTGTATTGTGTTAGGGTGAGCATAATTCGTGCCCGATTTGTCGACATGAATTACGGAAAGACGATCATGAGTATGAAAGTAGGAAAAAAGAGAGAAAAGGAGGCTGAAGAAGAGAGGAAAGGAGCTGCAAATGCAGTGGGAGGAGGTGAATATATGTATGTATAGGTCAAAAAAGAAAAAAGAAAAAAAACTATTATTTAGGCCATAAAGGTGATCCCTTCATATTGGCCTCTCAAGCACAACAAGTATTTTACGTGACAGACCCGCTCGATCAAAGTATTTTACTGTAATGGTAGATGATGTGTTATAACATAAACTGCATATTATAGCAATGTACTTTCGTCATGCAATGTTAGACAAACTTGTATTCTTTTCATTTATTTATCATACTTTTCTGTTAAAGAAAGTTGTATTCTTTTCATTTTTTAATGGTGTATGATCTGGTGCAATTAAAAGAATACATGACAAAAAAGGGCAATTTGGACCCTTCTTATGGCTGTTACAGAAACTCCACCATTCAATACAACTATATTGTTATTTGTTTTTGTTTTTATATTCATTTTTTTTTTTTTTTGGTTTTTTCACAAATTGTTTCTGTTAAGGTAACTTTACAAAACTACCATTCAATTTCTTTCATTTATTTATACATCTCTTTAAATGAAAATAAAGCAATATACTTTTGTAAAATGACATGATTTACCTTTTTGTTCATTTTTAATTCTGCAAAATGATATCAAAGAAAAAATGGTCAATTTTACCAGTCGTCCAAAATGTCTAAAATTGTCATTTTTTTGGAATAATAACTTAATCAGGAAAAAATTTCAGTTTTACAACAACAAATTTTCAATTTATGAAGACTATTCTTTAAACTTACAAATACAATAGTACAACCAGAATGAACATTATATAATTATAGTAACATATTTAATGAACGACCCCTAATTATACCGATAAGACATTATTGTTCTTTTATAACTATATTTACATATAGACACATATAATAGTTGTAATCATAACTAAATGCTACCTACACTCACAATATTTGTTTCTTCTCAAAGCCAATTCATCATATTTTGACACACATAATAAAAGGTACATGACCATAAACAACCAATACTAACTTGTTTTTTTTTTCTTTCGTTAACTAAGTACAACTAGTACAGAACCACCCTATGGACACACAAATATTGAGTGTGACCATATGTATCACCTTTTAGCTACTTTGTCTGTTATGTGTCTAAAAAGCCACCAGGTTATTGACACACATACAACTGCCTCATGTCACAATACGTTTATCTATTGTCTCTTATAAAAAAGTATGACAATCTTAATCGATACATGTGGCTAATTGTGACATATGGCCTCAATGTTCGAGTGTGACTAATATTTGTCACATTTGGTATAATTAAGTGTGGTTAAAGTTTTGATTATCTATACAATGGCCACACAAACTAATTTAAATGTATCCAAAAACAGTTTGTAAATTTTTTTAATGGCCTTTGGCCACACTTTTAATAAAAAGTGTGACAGACCGTTTTTCGGAAAGTGTGACCGTAGGTCATTTTTGTACTAGTGCAAACTTTAAGATATCTTAAGTTTGGTTTCTTTTTGTACCAAGTTTCATAAGGGGTTATCTTGTTCCTTTTGTTTGGAACTCTATTTAAAAGATAACATGCAATTAGCATTGCTTCTCCCTAGAAACCATCACTCAAACCTGAGTAAGATAACATAGAGTTTATTATTTCCTTTAGAACTACTCTATTCTTCCTTTCAGAAATCTCATTTTGTTGGGGAGTATATGGAGCAATTATTTCATGTATAATACCAACAGATTGGAAATAACTAGGAACATAATACTCTCCACCACGATCAGTGTGAAGTCTTTTGATTAAATCATTTTGCTGCAATTCAACTTCGTTCTTATAAAATTTGAATTTATTAAGGGCTTCATCCTTGGAATGTAATAAGTATACATAGCAAAAATGAGAATAATCATCAATAAAAGTAACTATGTATTTCTTATTTCCTAAGGATGGAGTTGAATGCAAGTCACATAGATCACTGGGAACCACCGAGAGCCCCTTGGACCCCGCAAGGGGCGCTGCCCGTAGACGCCGCCAAGGGGCTGCAGCCCCTTGGAATCCTACACCAAGGGGCGCTGCCCCCGGAACCCCGTATTTCCGAGTTCACATTCATCACACCGAGTGTGCACCCCACACCACCTATATTTGTTAGTAAAGTGAGTTCGGCCTATCTCATTATTAATAATAATTAAATTAAAATATGTTGATAACACTAAAATCACCAGTACTTCTTGCATTGTGTAGTGAATATTAGAGATTTTAAATTGCTTCTCCTTTGAAGGTTTATTTTGTATAAACTTTAAGACTTAAGAACAACTTATATACAATTGAAGACTAACATCTTTGGTGGTTTATCCTTGCTTGGTGGATATCTCTAAAGAGTTTATCCTTCGGAGTTTCTCGCCATCTTCGTCAACTTCCAACCTTCCGAAAGGAATCAAAGTCTTCAAAGGTTGTTGTTGGTTTTTTTTCTTCTTCTATGGTTATTTCAATCTTTCTATGTTTTGCAAAATGATCTTTGGTGGGTTAGAAAGAGTTTACGTTTATTCTATTTTAAAACTTCCGTTGTCGTTATTAGCGTTTTTGGAAAAACGATTTTGAATAAAACTCAACACCTGATTGATAAGTTTAGGTATGGAAAGGTTTTTATTTAGAAAAAAAAAATGTAATCGAAAAAGTATGGAAAACCATATTTATTAGTTTTCAAGTTACTTGTAATTTAAAAGTTGAAAATTTCTCTTATCTTGAAAAATTTATAGAAAAAACATTAAACGAAACATGTTTTAGAAAATTTTACATTTCTTAAAAAACATTTATGAAAAAATAATTAAATATCCTAAGGTATTTTTCCCCAAACAAACGGGTTCTTAATGTCTTAAGGACAAGAACAAGAACAAGACATTCATATCTACTATAATAAATTAATATAATTTTGTCATATGTCAATCTTTAATGAGTTTTGACATTTGTCATTTTATAATATTTTTTAAATAAATAATATCCACATGTCAATTTATGGTTTTTTTTCAATTTTTAAAATTAAAAAGTCACATAATACTTATACTTATATATGAAAAGTATTGAATGTAATAAATATTATACTAAACTGCAATTAATATGTTTTTTCATTTCTTATTTCAAAATTTTATTTTAAAAAATATTTATTATTTATATTTTAATATTTTATATTCTTTAATCAACCCGTGTAATACACGAGTTTTACACCTAGTTAGGAATGTACAAATCAAAGGGCTTCTAGCCCAGCGGTATCTGGTGTTGCCCTCCCTTCTTGAGGTCGATGGTTCAAGTCTCACTGTGGACATAGGTGGAATAATTTAGGAGTAGTTTAGTATATATTTGTATTTGTCGTTCAAAAAAAAAAAAAGTTAGGAATGTACAAAATCTAAGATGAGCCAAAAGCATCAAAAGCGTATATCATATATTAGGAATTTGCAAAATCTAAGGTGAGTCAAATTGTGATATATCATCTCTATATATACTCACGATATTCATAAAATGGATATGAATGAAGAACGGACCATTTTTAGGAAGTTATAGACAGCTACATGATAGTTGGTACAAACGGTACCCTTTCCAGAAGGCATGGCACCTGCTGAAAATCTTAAAACACGAAAGAAACAAAAAATATATATTGTATACAATATCAATTGACTGACAAATTACACGATTTAACTAAATTAAAAATCGAAAACCTTGATAAAAACCAAATACTCTAAAATCATGTCCCTAGAGAAATAAATTTGGGCTACACGGTCCTGTTGAGTCATTTCCGCGGAATAATCATGGCACCGCAATTCCTAACATAAAAGTTATGCCCGTGTACACTTAAACCACTTGCTCCACATACATGACCTTTTAGCATGTTGCTCCACCTCAACCTCGGCCTTGGCCTCAGCCACAAATTCGACTTTGGCCTCAGCCACGAACTCGAACTCGACCTCTACCTCATCTTCATCAACTTCATCCTCATCATTAAGGGTGGGATCATTGCACGTAGATGTTTCATTTTCCTAGCATTCAATATTAATTGCAAGGTCACAACTCCTTTAATTTTGTTAAATCATAGACCATTCAAGAATTATTATGATAATGTTAACATTAATGTGATGAGAAAAAGGTTTGGGTTTCAAAAAGTACACCTCACATACGTGACCAAGTATGTCTGGCTGCCTTTGGGATAATGCTGTGAAACGGATTCCAAATTCTGATGAAAATGAATAAAAAGAAATACGTTAGTTATCATTTACATGCATCCACTCGATCGGGAGAAAGTAGTTGCAGCTTGGTTTCCCAATGTGTTGGTCCTTGTTGAGATCTAATCCTTTATATTTATATGATCTAAAATATAAGAAAAAAACTTGACAATGGACCTATTAGTAGAAGATTGATATACATTATCTCCAGTAAAATACTATAGTCTGTTATATTTTCCTGTACAAAATCAACCCATTTAAGTGGATCTATACTTTTAGTAGGACCGATACACTTAAATTTTTAAAACTGGTTTATTTTATAATCTATGAATTCTTGGCACATACAAACAAGATTAAAAGTAACACAGGATCCAGAAAATATTCTATAAGAATGATATCTACCTTTATAGTGGGTGTTGTCTCGAAAAATATTAGGATAAACTTCATTAGCATCGTTACCACGTAACATAATTCGCCTAATGCTTGATGGTTTTGACAGGTTCATCAAGGTGCCAATCTGCAAGGAAAATTAAGGAGAAACAGAGTATGGAGCAATAGAGAGAGAGAGAGAGCTGGGCAAATGCTTTTTGTATTATGGGATGAAGAAAGAGGAGTTCACAATACAACGATTACATTGCCAGGGATTTAAACCAAAAAAAATGCGAAATACTAGGAAACAAACTACTTGCTTGAGACTCGGTATTACATATGACGAGTTCTTTATTCCTAAGTAAAACATAACGTGCATAATAAAATAATAACTTTTCTGAATTAACCCCAACATTCTCCCCCTAATTCAGAATCTTGTTGATCGAAATAACTCCAATCAAACTTCGCATTTCCTCAAACTTGACTCGTGCCATTGACTTTGTAAGGATGTCTGCCTTCTGTTTTGTACCACATACATGGCTCACTGTGATCTCCCCTGTTTCAACACATTCTCGAATAAAGTGGTACCTAATATTTATGTGTTTGCTGCGCCCATGAAACACTGGGTTTTTCATTAAGTCAATTGCAGAGCTGTTATCTACCAACAATTCCACTGGAGGTACCTTTTGTCCCGTTATTGCTGTAAGCAATCTCCTAAGCCAAATTCCTTGGCAAGCTGCTTGAGTTGCTGCCATAAATTCTGCTTCACACGATGACAGAGCCACACTTCGTTGCTTCTGTGAAGACCAAAGCACCAAATTTCCGTTCATATAGAACGCTGTACCGCCAGTGCTTTTCCCATCCTCCATGTCTTTGCCAAAATCGCTGTCTGAGTATCCTGTGAGGATGACTTTTCTATCTCCTCTTTTATACTGTAAGCCATAGTTCAAGGTACCTTTGATGTACCTGAGTATAGCTTTCACAGCTTGGGCGTGTTTTGTTGTTGGTTTCTCCATAAAGCGACTGACTACTCCAACAGAGAACGAGAGATCGGGTCGTGTGTGTGTCAAGTACCTGAGAGCACCTACTATGCTTCGATATTCAGTGGGATTTGTCAACTCTCCTTCCTCATCCTTACGCAACTTCAGCTTGTGATCCATAGGAATTCTCTTTGCATTACACTCCATCATACGAGCTTTAAGAAGGATGTTCTTTGCATACGATTCCTGCTTCAGAGTTATTCCTTCTTCATTTTGATTAACTTCTATTCCCAAATAGTAGGTCAATAGGCCAAGATCGCTCATTTCAAACTTACCTTTCATTTCTGTTTTGAAGTTTTCAACATTCTTAGCACAACTTCCAGTAACTAGGAGGTCATCTACATATACCCCCACGATCAAGGTATTCCCACTTTTCTTTCTTGTATACACAGAGTACTCTTGATAGCATCTAGTGAACCCCAAACTTTTCAGATGCTTGTCTAAACATGCATTCCAAGCTCTGGGAGCTTGTTTAAGCCCATAAAGGGCTTTTGAGAGCTTATACACTTTTCCTGCTTCACCTCCTTTCTCGAAACCTTCAGGCTGTGTTACGTATACTTCCTCTTCCAGTTTCCCATTTAAGAACGCCGATTTCACATCGAGATGGTGTACCCACCATCCATTTGACCCTGCAAGTGCTAGAATGACTCGCACTGTCTCGATTCTAGCAACTGGTGCGAAAACTTCTTCATAGTCGATCCCCTGTTTCTGTACATACCCTTTTGCCACAATCCTAGCTTTGTATTTCGAAACTCTGCCACTTGGGTCTCTTTTTACTTTGTATACCCACTTCAGTCCGATTGGCTTTCGTCCTTGAGGGAGATCGACTAGAGTCCAGGTCTTGTTTCTTTCAATTGAAACAATTTCTTCTTTCATAGCACTGACCCACTCCTTTTTCAGCTTTGCTTCATGGTAGGAGACTGGTTCTTCATCATTCTGTACAAATAGAAGCTCTTCAGGGGGCAATTGAATCTCTTCTGTATTCTCGTACAAATCGTTGAGGGTGCGATATCGTTTTGGGGCGCCACCGCCAGTGGAACTAGAAGCGGTGTTCGGAGACGAGTTCAGGTTTGGTGAAGTTGGGGTCACTGGTGAAGTTGGGTTATCATACAGATTTGGGCTCGACATTTGTGGCATAGTGGGCTCATCCGAGTCCGACCCAGAGTCCGAACCATGTTCAGACCCGTGTTCGGACCTGCTATCACAGGGTTCTTCATATTCATCTTCAATCGCCCCAAAATCTATGAAAATAAAACCATTAACCGTGAAACTCATACCTGGAATTGCCCGAATCTTGTCACTCTCCCCCCAATTCCATGTTTGATTCTCCTCAAAGACGACATCTCGACTTACATACACCGAACCCGTGCTAGGATCCAACAATCGATGAGCTTTAGTCCCTCTTTCAGTACCGAGATACACCACTTTCTTACTCCGATCATCTAGCTTCTTCAGATGCCCTTTCATGATTTTCATGTGTGCCGTGCAACCGAAAACCCTTAGGTGCCCAACATTTGGCTTCTTTCCAGTCCACATCTCGTATGGTGTAGAATCTTTGAGAGCCTTGGAACTTATTCGATTTAGGATGTACACACTATGGCTGACAGCTTCTCCCCACAAGACATCAGGTACATTCATTGTTTTCAAACAGCTTCTTACCATTTCCAGAACTGTTCGATTTCTCCTCTCCACTATCCCGTTCTGTTGTGGGGATAATGGTGAGGTGTAATGACGACTCAGGCCTGTCTCATCACAATATGCTGCAAATTGATTCGAGAGAAATTCCCCCCCTCGATCTGTTCTGAACAGTTTCAATTTTTCACCTGTCTCTACTTCTACCTTTTTTCTGAATGTCTTGAAAGTTTGAAGTGCCTCATCTTTTGTTTTCAACAGGTACACCCACATGATCCTACTGAAATCGTCTACAAGCAGCATAAAATACCTGTTACCACTAGGTGTTGGTGGTGAGACAGGACCACACAGATCACCATGTATTAGTTCCAACCTCCTTTTTGCCCTGAAGTTAGTACATGAGGGGAACGGCTGTCTTGTTTGCTTCCCTACGAGACAACCTTCACAAGGCTTTGATGGGATCACCATCTTGGGAATTCCCTCAATCAATCCTTTATCAGCCATAGACTTGAGTGAGGTAAAGTTTACGTGACCTAACCTTGTGTGCCATAGCCATGTAGTGTCCTTTATTTCAGCAACTAGACACATTGTACTAACTTCTGCTAATTCAATCTTGTAGAGCCGATTTGGAGATTTGTGTACCTTCATTAGCAACCTTCCTGTGCTGTCCCGAACCCAAAGAAATGGCTCCTTTATCTTGATCTCATCTCCTCCTTCTGAAAGTTGACCAAGACTAATGATATTGCTGCATAAGTCTGGTATGTAGTACACCTCCTCTAACTTTCTTTGTTCACCATTCTTGCATATGAATACCACAGTCCCCTTTCCTTCTATCTTGACTTTGGTTTCGTTTCCAAATTTCACATAACCATGAATTTCCGTGTTCAGGTTACGAAATTTCTTTTTGTCACCTGTCATATGATTGCTCGCCCCTGTATCCAAGTACCACAACTTCGATGGGTCTGGTTCTCCTCCTGTTGTCTTTAACTTAGGGTGAACATTTTCTTCATTCAAAAATACCTCACCAGTTTCTTGTTTGTTTTCCAGGGACATTAATAGCAAGGCTGGCTCACTATCTTCTTGGATCAGATTGTTCTCATAGCTTCTTTCTTTTCGTGGGTTTGTGCATTCAGATGCATAATGCCCGAATTCCTGACAGTTGTAGCATTGAATGCTACTTTTGTCTCGACTGCCAGAAGCCCCATTGCTGCCTTCTCGTTGATGGTGTGAGTTGCCCCTCCCACGACCACCACGACCACCTGCACTCCTGCCTCTTCCTCTACCTCTACCACGTGAGTTTCCAGATCCTCCTTTCTGTGTCTTAGACTTGGAATCACCTCCTCCCTTCTTCTTGTTTTTTTCTGTCCACTCTTGATGAGTCAAAAGAAGTTTTCTCTCTTCTGTCTCAGCGTGACCTCTCATCCGTTCTTCGTGTGCTTTTAGCCTCCCAATAACCTCTTCTACTGTGTCACCGAGGGTTCGCATGGAACTAACGATATTGCCAATCTTCACAGCGAAATCGTCTACAGCCTCCGTCTCCTTCAGGGTAAGTGACTCGAATTCTGCCTTTAAAGTCTGAATTCTCGCCATCTTTACTCTATCTGCCCCTACAAACCGTGTCTTTAATGCTTCCCACGTGTCTTTGGCTGTTTTCTTCTCAGCCACAGACATCAAAAGATCCTCTGGGATCCCTTGATAAATTGCTGCTAACGCCATCTTATCCTTTCTCGTGTCAACAGCTGTGTTTGGGGTTCTGGGCTCCACCGCTTCCCAAACACCATGAGCCTGCATATACACCCTCATTTTAATCGCCCATGCGCCATAATTGGTTCTCGACAACATTGGATACTGCAAGGTAATCTGACCCTCTTTTTCCCCATTTCCATTGTTTCCTGTCATTTCTACACGGGATTGATACTTGGGCATACACCAGGGTTGCTCTGATACCACTTGATGGTTTTGACAGGTTCATCAAGGTGCCAATCTGCAAGGAAAATTAAGGAGAAACAGAGTATGGAGCAATAGAGAGAGAGAGAGAGCTGGGCAAATGCTTTTTGTATTATGGGATGAAGAAAGAGGAGTTCACAATACAACGATTACATTGCCAGGGATTTAAACCAAAAAAAATGCGAAATACTAGGAAACAAACTACTTGCTTGAGACTCGGTATTACATATGACGAGTTCTTTATTCCTAAGTAAAACATAACGTGCATAATAAAATAATAACTTTTCTGAATTAACCCCAACAATGCTTAGGACGTAATATTCTCCTGTTGCTAACTGATATCCGGTGAGATCTCCAACAATTATGTGATTCCATGATTTGTAATAACTCAGCACATCTTCTTCATCCGTATTCCCATCATCATAAACAACCCCCACCCCACACTCCCTTACATCAGAACCAAATGCCGACGTTCTTCTTACTGTAATAGAAACCTCGTCACCACCTTCCATCTCATTCATCCCAAACATCCAATGGCTTAACACCGTGTAACACCCTTCTTCGCCTACATGAACATCGTTGCTGCAATGTTCGTAGAACCAGGCGCGGT